GGCTGCCAGACCTTGAACTGGACATTCTGAGCCTCCGAATCTTCGCGTGTAAAATAGAGAGATTGAGCAACATTTCTGGGAAGTCTGGGGCAAGATGGCACATGAGGTGCCCAAATGAGCCTTGAGCAATCCCCAGCCTCCTAGTGATGAAGTCACTCCTTTTTCAACTCTCTCCAAGCCCTTTCCATTGCTGGAAGGAGGATGTCTCCGCTCACTGCAACTCCGTCTCTAACATCTTTCTCGGGCAAGTTGACCTCATTTTCAAAAAAGACAGAAGTTCTCAGGCCGGGGGCCTTCAGCAGATAACGGTGACACTGTCATGCTGTCTATGGCGCCTCAAAGAGTCGGACAGAACTTAGCGACTAAACTGCAGCAGCATTTTTCTTTTTTTTTAAGAGTTTTTATGTGAACCATTTTTAAAGTCTTTTCTGAATTTGTTATGATATTTCTTCTGTTTTATTTTTTGGTTTTTTGGCCCCAAGACATGAGGGATCTTAGCTCCCCGACCAGGGATCGAACCCACACCCCCTGCATGGACAGGCAAAGTCTTAACCACTCTACGTCCAGAGAAGTCCCTCAAGGCAAATAAATTTTAATTTATTTTAGAATTATGGAGGACACACTATAATCTCTTCTAGACTCCCTCTCTTGTCCATTCTTCAGAAAGAGCTTACCAAAATTTCCACCCTACCTTAAAACTTATACATGTAGCAGAAAAAGGGCAACAAAGTCAATAGAAGAGTGGGTTCAAAAATAAACCCCTACAAATACGGTTGAATGATTTTCAACAGTGGTACCAAAACAGCCTAATGGAGGAATGGAAAAATCTCTTCAACCAATGGTTCTGGGGCAATGGCATATTCTAGAAATAAAGAACTTTTTATTATTTTTCGTCTTCTGCCCTATGCTGCATGTGGGATCTTAGTTCCCTGATCAGGGATTGAAACTGCACCCCTTGCATTGGAAACGTGGAGAAAGAACCCTCACCTTTGCTTCATGCCATATGCAAACCTCAATCCAAATGTATCATGGAAAGCTCAACGTGGAAGCCAAACATAAAACCATAAAGCTACTAGAAGAAAGCAGAATCCCAGGGCAGACACAGGTGACTTTCGCCCTGAGAAACGATGAAATGTACTTCAGGGAACTTGTGCAATATTTAAATATTTGCACTTCAGAGGACACCACAAGAAAACCACAGACTGGGAGAAAACATTTGCAACACACAGAGGAGGGACTTGTGTCCAGAATATATAAAGAACTTTTAGAATTCAATAACAAAAAGTCATGCAATCGTACAAATAATTGGGCAAAGGATCTGAACAGACATTTCACCAAAAAAAGATATTCAGCAAGCAAATAAACACATGAAAATACACACAACATCATTAGGGAAATAAAAGTTACAACCTCAATAAGATATCACTGCACACACACTAGAATGGCCAAGTTAAAAAGACAGATAGTAAAAAGTGTGGGCAAGGATGTTAAAAGGAACTTGGAGCTTTCAGATGTCACCAGTGAGAATGCAAAGTGGCACAACCACTTTTGCAAAATGGTTTGATAGTTTTTTAAGAAGGAAAACATAGACCTCCTATATGACCCACCCAAAAACTTGGTGGCTCCAACGATAAAGAATCTGTCTGCAATGCAGGAGACCGGGGTTCTATCCCTGTGTCGGGAAGATCCCCTGGAGAAAGAAATGGCAACCCACTCCAGCATTCTTGCCTGGAAAATCCCATGGACAGGGGAGCCTGGTGGGTTACAGTCCATGGGGTCGCAGAGTCAGACACGACTGAAGCGACTAAGTATACAAGCACAAAAAAAACTTGTACACAGATCTTTACACTAGCTTTATTCCTAGGATGGACAGACTGTGGTATATCCATATGATGAAATACTACTCAGCAATTCAGTGTTGCTTTGCTGCCTACTCTGGGCTGAGACTCCCCTCTAGGAGGGAGCTGGGGACCCCGAGAGTCCCCTGCTGGTGGCACTGCCTCATGATGCCTGTCTGAGGATGTTGATAGGACTCTTCCACTGATGTTACCACAGTCCCTGTGTGACTAGACTCTTTGATTTGCAGAGTGTGTTCTAAGCCTTTGCTTATATTATACTCTCACTAGTATTTACAACTAATTTAACAGACCCAATTTATTAATTTTCTCCCTACAACAACACACATTGATGTTTTTGAAAAGACCCTGATGCTGGGAAAGATTGCAGGCAGGAGGAGAAGGGGGTGACAGAGAATGAGATGGTTGGATGGCATCACCAAATCAATGGACATGAGTTTGAGTAAGCTCTGGGAGTTGGTGACGGACAGGGAGGCCTGGCCTGCTGCAGTCCATGGTGTCGCAAAGAGTAGGACACAATTGAGCGACTGAACAACAAGTTTCTGTCTCTATGCCTTTTCTGGACATTTCATATAAATGGAATCATCTAATATGTGGACTTTAAAAAAAATATGTGGACTTTTTGTGTCAGACTACTTAGTCTAATATTTTCAAAGTTCACGTTTCTATGGTTAAACAATACTCCATTGTATGAATATACCACGTTTTGTTTATCCATTCATCATCCAGTCGATGGTAAGACGGTGTTTCTGTTCATATGGAAAAACCAACCTGCCAGCCGCACCAGCCTGAAGCCTGAGTCCCACCCTGCCCTCCTCAGGGCCAATACACACCTCAGTGTGAAGCCCCATCTGTTTCACATGATCCCATGCCTTCCCCTCAATATGCCAGTCAGTGGTCCCTTTGGTTCATGAATCCTCGGAGACGTGAACCCCTTCACTTTCTCATCCATTCGTTTCACACCAATCTGAAGGCTCTCAAATGCTCTTCCCTCAGTGCTCATCATTCTTTCATCTTTCTTCCCTTCCTTGGGTACCAGACATGGTCATGTACCACTGTTGCTTTGAATAGGAGATCTTTCAAGTTTGAGGAGATTTTTGCGCTCCTCCAGATTATAGTGAATAGAGAGGTCACAGTCTTAAGACTTTACATTCTGACAAATACACTGTTGCATAACTGCTGACCCCTGAACCACAAGGGGTTTTGGGGTGCTGACTTGCCCTGAGTTGAAAATCTGCATGCAGTTGATAGTCACTTCTCCTTATATCTGGTTCCTCCAAATCTATGGTTCTGCATCATTGGATTCAACCAGTTCCAATTGTGTAGGACTGTAGTATTTACTACTGAAAAAAATTTGCCTGTAAGTAGACCCACACACTTCAAACCCATGTTGTCCAAGGGTCAACCGTATAAGAAAACTTTAAAAATTGAAGGGAAGAAAATACAACAAAATTTCTGCCAAAGCAGGGTCTGTTGTATGCTAGGATGAATAAGGTGAACTCCTGTTCATCCTTCAAAACCCTACCTGGGCATGACCGTTGGAGGAAGCCTTCCCTAAGCCTCCAATGTGGGGTTCATGGATCTCTGGGAGTGACATTCATCCCTTGTCCTACTGTGGGTGACTGGGCATATTCCCCTCACTGGTACCTGTCAGTTTATTTGTCTTGTCTGTCTCCTCCCCACCACATCTCCCCCTCTGGAGACGAAGGGCCTGCTATGACCTAAAGTCTGAGGCTGTAGGTACCAGAGTGAACCTGCTGCCCAAAGGGAAGCCCATGGGACAGCCAGAGTTTTACAGGGCCTGTGAGCTAGTGCTCATGGTAACCTTCAAGCTAGATGTGATTTACTCCATTTTATTTATTATTTAAATTTTTATTTATTTATTTTGGCTGTGCCTTGTAGCTTGCAAGATCTTCGTTCCCAGACCAGGGATTGAACCCGGGAAATGGCAGTGAAAGTGCAGAATCCTAACCACTAGGCCACCAGGGAATTCCCTCATTTGCTCCATCTTAGACATAAGAAAGGGCTTCCCTGGTGGCTCAAATGGTAAAGAATCTTCCCGTAATGTGGGAGACCCGGGTTCGATTCTTGGGTTGGGAAGATCCCCTGGAGAAGAGAATGGCAACCCACTTCAGTATCTTGCCTGGAAAATCCCATGGACAGAGGAGCCTGGTGGGCTGCAGTCCATGGGTTGGCCAAGAGTTGGGCACACCTGAGCAGCTAACACCCACACATACACACAGACAAGAAAACGGAGGTGGGGTAAACCACTTGTCCATGGCCCAGGGCTGCCAAGAAAGCAGCCCCCGATGCAGAACCACCCACCTCCAAAACACCATCAGCCACACCATGAGCTGATCGACATGATGCTAACAGTTTATGTATATGGAGCCCTCCCACGTGCTGCATCCACACAAACCATCTCCCAGAACATCTCCATGAGTGCTCATCTCATGGATGAGGAAATGGAGGCGCTGAGCACCTATGAAACCTGCCAGAGGCTAATGAAGCTTACTGGGATTTGAATGCTGGGACCTGAAAGAATAACCATCGCCCAGCATGGCCCCTTGCCCCTGCCTCCCTCCTGCACCAGCGGCTCTCAGCTCAAGGGGGCCAGGTCCTCCACAGGACATTGAGCAAAGCTTGGAGACATTTGGAGTTGTCGCAAGGGGCGGGAGAGGAGAGATGCTACTTGTACTCAGCGGGGAGAGACCAGGAAGGACGCTGAATGCCCGACAGTGCACAGGACGGCTGCCCCCGCCGGCCACAAAGACAGAGTCTGAGATGACCCGACTTAGAACAGCATCAGTGCACACATGTGCGCACGCACACACGCACACACACACACACTACAGCATCCAGACCCACATTCCCACCCCCCATGGGCTTCCCCAGTGACTCGGTAAAGGATCTGCCTGCCATGCAGGAAACCTGGGTTTCATCCCTGGGTCAGGAAGATCCCCTGGAGAAGAGGATGGCAACCCATTCCAGTATTCTTGCCTGGAGAATCCCATGAACAGAGGAGCCTGGCAGGCTACAGTTCATGGGGTCACAAAGAGTGGGACACGACTGAATCACTAACACAGGTAAAAGAGGAGGGGGTGGGGAAAAATAATGCAAGCCCCGCCCACAAATGCACCACCATCACCATTAACGTCATATTTATTGTTATTTAGCTGCTCAGGAAAACATATACAGGTATATACAATATGCATGAATACAGAAGACTGCACTTTACATATTTTTTTAAAAAAGAAAGAAAAAAATAACACTCAATTTCATGAGCTATTGTCACAGTCTTCCAACCAAGCATTTCAGAAATGAATTTCTTTTAAGAGTCAAAAAAGATTACAGGATTGCCTAACACACAGCAGAGTTAAGTTTCCATATTTTACATGTGCAATAACGTTTTCATATTCTTTCCCGAAGAGTTTTGCTATGCAGTACCGATTACCAGTGTTTGTGGAGTCTCATGGGTTGGGTGTGTTTTTAATTTGCTTTTATTCTTTCCATTAAACCAAATCTAGTGAAATAACATCCTTTTGCTTAAGGCTATTTTTAAAGCTGTTCCATTCTGGGGTCGTGGGGAGCGAGAAAGTTGAAAACTTCAGGGGTTTCCGAAGTTGCAAGGACCACGAGCTGATGGCCGTGTGCTGACGGCCTCAACGCAGGGAAGGTCAAAGACAGAAGTCAAGACACTTGGCTCCCCGGCCTTAAGCAATTAAGGAGAAATCATTCCTGTTTAAGAAATAAAAGGGTGAAGCTCTCAAACAGCTGTCCATTTCAGAATCAGAGGGGGCGTGGAGTTTCGCTCAGACTATGGCTGGCCCTCCTGCAGTCCATTGCAGGAGGGGACATTCCCTCCCCCTTTCTCTCCTTTCCTGGCAGAACCCGGGACTGGATAAGCCCCCACCTTCTTCTCTCTGATCAGTCCACACCACCTTCTTCTGCCTGCCTTCTGCAGGGGCCAGGGTCAACCCAGGTCAAACTGCCCATGCAGGAACTCTGGACGGTCCAGACTCAGACCCCGAGCCAAAAGGGCCGGCAGGAGGAAAGATGAGGAGGGGGAAGTGGAAAGAGCCAGATTTTTCTGGATGCTCTTCTCCTTTTGCTAAAAAGTTCTTTGAAATAAACAATGTGGGTGTTGTATGGTGAGCTCAAAGCCTTCAGGTCACTTGCTTAAAAAAAAAAAGCCGGGTCTGTAAACTCTGGGAACATGGGGCGGGGGTGGGGGGAAGGATGGAGGGGGCGTGAGGCTCAAAATGGAGCATTTAGTAAGATGCTCAGAAATTGAAATCGAGCAGAAGAGTTACGGATTTGGGTGACGTGGTATCAGTCACTCCTTGTCTGGCCCACCCTGGAATCTGGGCCACCCCCACCACCCCCATGAATCACACAAGCCCTTCGCGGTCATCAGCAGCACCCAAAGAAAGCCTCCCCTGCCCGCGCTGAGCCTCCGCTGACTGCTGCTCTGGGAGCGCCAGGTAAGAGGCCTCAGCTGGGTCCCTGCTCACCCAGCCGCTCCTTCACCTCTGCTCAAATAAGTCATTCCTTCAGGAGATGCTCAGGACGTGGCTCTGGTTTTGCAGCAGGCTGAGATTACGCCAAAAGCGGAGAGGGGGGGATTCTGGGGTTTTAAAAACAAGAAAAACGCCCAAGAATCAAAGTCACTAGTTGCAGTCCCTTTCTCTCCCCTCTAGTCCTCGGGAGTCTGCAAACTCCTCCAAAGAAGAGGCTGGGAGGAGGAAAGGGGGCTTGGCCGAGAGAGCCTGGGGGCTCCTTTACTCAACGAGCTCCTCCAAAAAGTGCTGGTCCCTCCCAGGGATGGGGGGCAGCCCAGAAAGGGGAGAAGTGGGGGATAACCGAGAAACCACTCCTTCTTGCCCCAGTGCCTGGTTGGCAACAGACGTCAGGAAAGGTCAAGGCTGAGACCTGACCCTTCAGCTCCAACACCCGAGACCCAGCCGACCTGGCCCAGAGCAGGGCGGGAGCCTGCCACCAGGGATGCTCCGCACAGCATGAAAATTCAGAGCCTGAGCGTTGGTGCAGAGGCCCAGAAAAGGAGAGAAAACACCACAGTCGAATATTCCAACTACTTCCCACAGAAGCAGGCTGGACACGTCATCACCTCCATCGCAGTGAAAGGCAGCTCCCAGCAGAAGAGAGAAGGGAGCTGAAGGCTGAGCGTGTGTTTGTAGGAACGAAAATATATATGTCTATTTTCTTAGGGAACAGACAAAACAAAATCTCAGGCGGAATACCTAAGGGGGGCATTAATTGTTTGGCTCCTGCCTGACTGATGACAGTTGGGTGTCAATATATAATATTGTGATGACAATTTGACTCTCACCCGGCAATATTCCAGAACTACTATTCTCCAGGATTTTCATTTTAATAAGCAGTGAACAAAGCAAAAGGAAAAAGAAAAAAAAAAGGGAAGTGGGGAGGTACAAGACTAAAAGAGAATTAAAAAGGAAAGCAACTCTTGTCTTATTATGAAATAACAATACTTGGACATACAGCAGCATGAAAATAAAACAAGGAAAGAGGTCATCTAAAAAAACGTATGCCAAGATTACAGAAAAGAAAATGGGAATTATCTAGCAGGAAAAAAATGCTTCAGCAAAAGTTTGCTAACTGCAGAAGGGTTAACACTGGTAACATACCGTGGCGGACAAGTTTCTTTTTTTAAAAAAATTTTTTCAGGTTTTTTTTTTTTTCCCCTTTAAATTAACCCCTTCGGGTCCATATGCCACTAAGCAGGTACCAACCTAGGAAAAAAAAAAATCACCCACTCAGCACTAGTGGCCCTTTCGAATTCACGTGGTGGGGTCAGTAGGGTGGGGTCAGGTGAAGGGGGAAGAGGAAAGAGAAAGCGGGGAGGGGAGGGCCTGGTAGGGGAGGGGGCATTTCTTGTCACTTCAAGTCAGGGCGGCCACGAATGTCCCGAATCTGTTGGAAATGTCGGAGTGCAGGGACCGCCAGGTGGGCACAGAGGCTCGGGCCTTGGCATCACCCACATCGTCTGTGCAGTGGACAGACAGGCACTGCAAGTGGCTGCCGGGCTGGGGTGCCGAGGCCTTGTTCGCAGGAAGGTCGTGGGCTGCAGAGAAAGAAGGAAGAGAGAATGTTAGCAGCTTGCTTGACTCTGCAAGAGGCCCTGATGGGGACAGAGAGGCAGAGGCAGGAGAAGAGAGGACAAGTCCAGGCCCTTTTCTTTCATGCCTAAAGATAGTCTAAGGAAATCTAAAGTCACTTGGTTCGAATCCTCCTGCTGTTGCCTTTGACTTGGGCTGTCACGCTTTAGCCAAGGGAAGACCCCTCCCTCTTGGGTCTATTTTTCCCCACCACCTTGGAAAATAGAAGAGTTAGGCAGGATAAACACAGGGTTTGCCCATCTCTGATGGACTAGAGTTCCCAAAAGATTAACTGCTCCTGAAGTAAGTTGGGAAGGCTTCCTGGAGGAGGCATATCTCAACTGGGTGTTGAGGGATATGTAGGAGTTCATCAGATGCAGTGAATTAAATAAGAGTGGGGAGGATCATCCAGGTCTAGAATATAACCCATTCTCTTGTCATCCGCTAGACAGACATTTGCTAAGGGGCTGCTATGTGCTGGGAACCCCCTCATGAAGTGCCAAACTGCTCAGAGCAGTAGAGACTACGACTGTGGACTCCCCAGCCACATGAGAGCCTTTCCCCATCCCCAGCTGCTGCATGAAAGGACTTTTGGTGACAGAGATAAGGGAATCTACTCCTCTCCTACACCCTCAATGAAAATCCCCTCAATTTCCTTCTCATTCAGTCATACAGCACCAGAAACAGCACAGACCATGGTCATGCTTTGATTAGACATCCTTGAGGGGAAAGAAATTTGATAACCATTCACACCTAGTGTAAATTATATTAGAAGACAACAGGAATTGGGAGTCCTAGGGCAGGGAAGGAAGACAGCAGTCATTTCAGAGGACTTCTAATTTACTGTTGCCCAGTGACCCATAGTTCTGTTCTGAGGCCTATTAAATCATGATTATTCTCATTGTTTCATTTTCAGAGCCTGACTCTCAGAGAGGCAAGGTGACCTGCCCAAGGTCACACAGCCAGCAAGGAGCAGAGTTGGGTTTGAAGACAGACTGATAGTGAACTCCTGACTCAGCAAAAGTGAGAAGAGCTGGCATTGGGGGCGGGGGCCCAGCTCCAGCCGAGGGAGCACACCCAGATACTGAACTCCACGACCGGCCCACCCTCCCCAGCACACTATGCAGGCCCAGCCTGGGCCCTGCGCCAGGCAGGAGTCACCCCACCCATCCGCCCTCTGGGATCCGGGGCGGTAGGGGGGGAGGCTTCCCCAGAGAGCTGAGCCACAGCCTGCAGAGAACAACCCTCCCAGAGGGACGGGCCCAGGCAGCGGAGGCCAGGCATGACTAACTGGGTTTGGGGTCCCCACCCTGAAGCCCCAAAGACATCCAGCTTGGGGACCTGCGTTCTTGGGAGGAGTTGGGGCTGGGAGGGAAGATTCTCTCCTGTGCCTCTTCTTTCCTTCCTTCGATTACGAAGCCTTCACTGGGACCCTACTATGTGCCAGGCATGGTGGTGAGCCTGCAGATTCCAGCAGGAAACAAGGCACTTTCTTCCTCCTCCTCCTCCTGCATCTGACAATAAGGCTGGGGAAACAGCGTCAGAGCCCAGTCACTTTGGAGTCAGAGACTGAAGCCTGAATCCCAGCCCCAGCGCTGTGTGCACAGGGTCTGACACTTGGCCCTCTCTGACCCTCAGTTCTGACCCTCAGATCTGTTCACTGGTAAAGTGGGGGTGATGCCGTCTCCCTCGAGGTCTTGTCACAGGTGTCCTGGCACACAGACACATCCCCAGGCAGGGCTCCTGAGACTGTCATTCATGTCTGGGGTTGGGAAGGCAGTCCTTGCAATCATCTAGAAGGCTTCAAGCCTGGTCCCCTCCTTCAGACTGGCCAGCTGGGAGTGTCCCTGCCCATGAAACGGGAGTCTTTGCCCATTTCATGGGCGGGGAAGCTGAGACTAAGATTTCAAAGTCAGTGAGAGGTGGTGGAGCTGGGATGCTGTGACCCCAGGAAGCTAGAGACACCAGATTCCGGGTCCCCTTGCCCCGAGCAGGCCCTGGATTCCAGCCATGCTGATGCACAGCCCTCACTCACATCTCTGCTCTTGAACCCACGCTTGCCTTGCTTCCGGTGACACCCTGCTGCTTAACACCGTTGCGGGTATTTTGTTCTGAGCATTGCAAGATCTGGATTTGGGGGAAGTAGCATCTATCAGAGGGTGGGGAGAGAGAGAAATTCTGAAAGGAGTTCCTTACTTCACTTCACACATATTATTCCAAGAAGCCAACACAGCAAAGTTTGTGCCCATTTTACAGGTAGGAAACAGAGACCCCTGCCAAAACTTGCAACAGCTAAAGAAAGACAAGACCCAGACGTCAGCTCTGGACCCCCAGCTTCCTGGCTCTGTGGCTGACGCACCAGAAGGGCAGGCACAGAAGGGCCAGGACACTCACAGGAGCTGGGTTTGCTCAGCTGGTTCCAGATTGCTCCAAATGGCCACGTTTTCTAAAGATGCTCTCTTTCCAAGACGCAGACAACTGAAACGCACGCAGTGCGCCAAAACCAGAGACAGCTGCTCTTCTTCCTTGGGGTGGATTTAATGAGGGCGTGGCAGGCACACAGCTGAACACGTCTGCGTATTATCTAATTCCATCCCCCAGCAAGCCCAGCAGCGGGGGGATCCTTCTGCCAACTTGAGAGAGGGCACCTGGGGCTCAGAGAGGGTGAGGGGCTTGCCTGACATCACAGAGCAGAGACACCGGATCTCCCGGCCTCTCTGCCGGGGACAAGTAAGCAAGTCTGCTATCCATGGGGAACGCTTCTAGCAGAGAATATGACTCTTCAGTTCTCGACAACCTAAGCATGACCAAACTCATCCTCCCGCCGGGTCCATTCCAGCTGGGGGGACCCAACACGCCCTCGGACCGCGGCTCCCCTGGGCTGCCGATAAAATCAGTCCTGCAGGAGCCGCCTCAAGTCAGGGCCTGCCCCGGCCCGGGGTGGGGAGGGGCCCTCCGTCCCCCCTCCTCGGGGGCAGCAGACGGGCCAGCCCCCACGCCAGGGCCCAGAGATAAAAGCTGCCCCCCTCGCCCAGCTCCCAGGGTTGGGAGAGACCCTGGGGTTACTCAGCGCCCGGCACTGGCAGATACCGCAGAACTGCTGGGTGTTGCCCTGTTTCCCCTTGTTGGCTGTGGGCTGCGTGGGGGGGGGGGGGGGGCGGGTCTGGCCTGTTCTGCTCAGCTGGGCCCCCGGCACGCTGACTGTGAAGGGACTTTCAGCCCCATTTGGCAGATGGGAAGACTGAGGCCCCAAGGGACAGGGAGCTGCCCAAGGCTCACCCGAGGCCAGGTCACCAGCTCTGGGACCCGCCCTCTCCTTTCAGCCCGGGATTCCTCGCAGGGTCAGGCTGAGATGGAACCCCAGATCCTCCAATCTGGGCCACTGGCCCCCTGCTGCAGGGCCTCAGTTTCCTCATCTATAACTTAGGGGAGGCGGGGGTGGGTGGTGATTCCCATGGGCCTGGCTCTAGGCTGCTGGAGGAGGCCATGCAAGAGAAAGAGCTGGGCTTCCCTGGTGGCTCAGCGGTAAAGAATCCGCCTGCCAATGCAGGAGACACGGGTTCGATCCTTGGTCCAGGAAGGTCCCACATGCTGCGGAGCAACTAAGCCCATGTGCCACAACTACTGAGCCTGTGCTCTAGAGCTCCGGAGCCTCAACTACTGAAGCCCGAGAGCCCGAGAATCTGTGCTCCACAGGAGAAGCCGCCACAACAAGAGGCCTGAGCATCGCAACTAGAAAATATCCCCGGTTGCTGCAGCTAGAGAAAGAAGCCCGCACAGCAACGAAGACCCAGCACAAACAAAACTAGGTAAATAAATCAAATTACGGAGGGGGGAGGACTTACTGAAAATTTTTCTTATAAAAGAGAAAGAGCTGCTGACACCCTGCCTGTGGGGTCAGTTCCTGAGGCACGGGTGGCATCGACTCAAAATTATAACCATCAGGTGCCTCACCCCAGGCAGCCACAGGGGCTGAGATGAGGGGCTTCCGGCTCAAAGGACAGGACGGCGTGCCTGCCCAGCAAGGAAGGACCGAGGGGCAGTTTTTAAGGTCATCCTCCTAATTGGCCGGGCTTCCCAGGTGGTGCAGTGGTTAGGAATCTGCCTAGCCAATGCAGGAGATGCAAGAGACGTGGGTTAGATCCCTGGGTCGGGAAGATCCCCTGGAGGAGGAAATGGCAACCCACTCCAGTGTTCTTGCCTGGAGAATCCCACGGACAGAGAAGCCTGGTGAAATACAGTCCATGGGGTCGCAAAGTCAGACATGACCGAGTGCGCACGCAGGCACCCTAATGGCCGGAAGGTGCCACCTGAGTCCGCACGCGCAGGGCAGGGCCTAAAGCTGGGACGCCTCGCTTCTCCTCTCCCTGGAGGCTCTCCCCACCCCTTCCCCCTGTGCACAAGCCCTGGCTGACCCACCCGGCCCCTCCTCAGCCACCCCTCCCTAAACGCCACCGACCTGGTATCACCCTACCCAGATACCAGCTGCTTCGGGCTCGCCCTGACGCCAACACAAGGCCACGTCGGATTTTGTCTTCAGCGTTTCCCCATCCCGTAAATTCCACAAAGGGAAGACGGAGAGAACCTTGAGCTGGTGCCCAGAAAGTGACCGCATGAATAATGGATGGAATTCCACTCCTCCGGTGGGTTCTGCAGCCATCGTGGCCTGCCGACTGCGGGACGTGGGACTTTCGGGTACGTCACCCCTTTCAGCTCTCAGAACCTCAGTCCCAGGAAACGGGGGAAATAATCGGACTGGCCGTCACGGAGGCAGGGATGAGGATTAAGTGAAACGATCCATGTAAAGTGCTTAGCACACAGCACTCCTGCCACCGCCAGGAGGACTGCCCTGTGTGGCTGTGGACCGGCTCTGCAGGGACCGGCAGGGCTTGGGACGGCTGGTCGGAGCGCTAACGGGGATGGCTGGGTGACCCTTGGGCTGGCCAGCCTTGGCTGGGGTGAAAGG